TACTCCAAATTGTCTTACTATCTGCTCAGTTCGAGTTCAAATGATAGAATTGTTCATTCAGACCGATTAATCGTTCAATAGGACTCGTAAACAAAATCCAGACTGATTCTGTGAGTCGGTTCAGCGAATTTCCTGAAAAAATTCCGATTCAAAGAACACAATTGTTCCCGAATCGGACATAGCTACACACAGCTGGTAAAGCAGTAAATAATTTCTGCATCAAACAGATTTAAATAACACATGCAAAGCAGCTACATAGTCATGCACGTAATCAGAAACGAACTACAGCGCAAAATAATATGCAGCTGACACACGATCACTTTCATTATAAACAGCGTTTAGATGAGGCTATTCCTTATCATTCTAGGATTGCAAATGATTTCATAAACGAACAAAGAAATAACACAGTATAAAGAACACTCACCAAAGTCCAGAAACTGTTTCATAGAAAGTGGAGAAGGTGAAAATTTGGAGAAGTGTTCAATGTGATGAGGCGCACTGGCCAAAGCAACATTCTTCATTATAAACCTGACGAACTTCATTTCGATGACTGGGTCGAAACCGAGATATACCCGATATATCAGCTGCAGAGTTTCAGTTTTTTCAATAGGCACGGTGTTTATAATGCATGTAGTGAGATGTAGGCTATATGATGGTCTACGAGGCAGCTGTTCTTCCAAGAACACTCAACAGCCAATCAGAGCCAGAGGTTCCTGTTACTAATACAGATCCGTCCAATAGCATGTGGAGGCGGGGCCATATGCTGCTCATGGCCCTATAAATATAAGCATTCAGTCAGGGACATAAACACGTGTGCATTGACCACTGTGTGGTTTGCGTCCTGAAAAGAGTACATCTGTTTTTCCCATCCTAAACTGTGATGATCATTATGAAAATCATGAAAGCTAAATGAATATCAGAATGTCAAGAATTGTATTGATAACGTAGGCTACCTATTAATTTTACCTCACTATACAAAATCTCTAGTAAAATTAAAAACTGGAGTTTAATTGCTTCCTTCATCTTTAGGGTAAATAAGTGCAAAAGTTACAACCTGCTGTAATAAATTAATAACACTTTTGCCAAGTCATTTGAATTTGATTAAATGAACTTGAATCACATTAAATGAAGTTAAAATGAAGTTATATTTAAAAAAAAAATATGGGGGGGGAATTATCACCCATATCATGTGTTAATTGCTTCCTTCATCTTTAGGGTAAATAAGTGCAAAAGTTACAACCTGCTGTAATAAATTAATAACACTTTTGCCAAGTCATTTGAATTTGATTAAATGAACTTGAATTACATTAAATAAATTAGAATTAAGTTAATATTTAAAAAAAAAATCTATGGGGGGAACTGTTGTTAGCCTATATCATGATAAAAATATTTTACAGTGTGACTTTGAACTTTATTTTACCCCACTGATCTTTTTCAGGACATATGGGGACAAATCCATAATATGCATAATTTCCCTGTCCAAAGATTTCTGTTTTTTAATGGTCAATTTGTGGTTGAGGACATTATGTTCTGTGAAAGACTAGGATAACATGCCAAATCCAGTCTTGCATAACAAGGAGACCTCGATAAGAGACAAGTCAGTCACCATCATGCATATTTCACTCTCTCCTTCCAGCCAGCAGTCAGCTGAGTAAATCAGAGATATGCTTATTTTAAAAGGTTATGTGCTTAGATGTATGACAAATGTCAAATGTGCATCTTTAAAAAATTAATTAACTGCGATTAGTCAGCAGATTCGCGTGTGCATTATAATTCTGAATGGTGCAATGGCTCTCATCAGATGATTTCTCACAATGGAGACCTAGATAAATCAATACGTAGTGGCTCTTTCCATGATTAAATCACAACATTTCCCATATGTTCAAATATACAGCTCCACGCTATTGAACAACTGCACCACCTTGTGGTCAGTTTTTGATTTTATTTTCAATTTTCCACCACCGTTAATAGGGGATTAAATCTGTTATTTAGAGCATTACATTTTAGTGTTTGTGGCCGTTTTAATGTTCTAGTAAAACAATGAAAACATGTTATGTTAAAACACTTTATGTGGCCTTAAACATGCATTTGAAACGCATGACCCCTGATAAAGGGAGCATGCTGAAGGAAGGGAGAGGAAGGAAGTTTTGAAACGCCTGGTTATTCTGTACTTTGTTAAATAAAATAATCAGATAAGTTGTAGTTAATTTCCTTGCCGTAAACTTTGTTATCTAAACTCCAAAGTATTCTGTCTATGCAGAAGTGATTGCATAGCCATTAAGACCTGAGTGTGTGGGGAGAAGGAAACATGCCCAGTGGAAATTTCCTTTGGTCGGACACGGGCCATTGATGTGCTGTTTTGTACCTTCACTGAATGGAACAGCTTGGAGCCAAATGTCATGGTCACTCTCATGCCATTCCTTTTCAGTATTTTTTTTTCCTACCAAGCAATATTTGACAACAGATTTCACAATAAACCCATTAAAATTATTAACAAATCCAGAATTTATATTCAAAAGCATCTATATTTTAATAGCTAGCTATGATAACTACTGTAATTCTAAAGATCTTAACTTTCAGAAGTTTTCCATTAAAAAAGTTAGAAATACTTTGGCATGTACTGTCACTGACCCCTGCCATAAACCATGAATGAATGCAAAAAAATCTCTGATTGCTTCTCTGCACCTTGCGGCCTGTTCTCATTTTGGATTGACTCACCAGAGTTATGTGAGTGATGCAGAAAAAAAAAGCAGAGAGAGGAACAGTTTTTTTGGGCCCAATATGCAATATGCATAATTCCCAATACAGAGTATGCAAAAAGAAGTGTGTCCAATAAGTAGGATGTGACAATACACAGTATTCATGAAGGCAAACAATACAGATGACCGTGGTGAAGATCTGAAATGTATAACCACACTCTAAGAACACAAAACTGCCACTGAGGTGCTACCCTTTCAAAAATATTATGTACACTTTAGGTACTAATATACGTACTTTTAAAATACTAATATGTACCTTTAAGGGAAATGTACTACAGCGGGGTAATTAAGGTACAAAAATGTTGTACCCTTTACCTATGAAGGCAGTAGATACTTTGCTCGAGATTTCAAAAAATGGAAATGTATTTATATCACACATATTCATGCTGTTGTACTGAATATATGACACAATGAATCACAGTTATGCAGCACCCATGCCTGTGTGATATTACTTGTTTTTACTGCATTTTTCAGCAATGTTTTTGTGGGGCTCAAGCTGATCCCAAACTAAACAATTTCTTTAATAATGTTTTTCTTTGTGTAAACGGCTTACAGCTTCATTAATAAATGCATAGTGGGGTTTAATTAGATAATGATCATGTTTTTGAAGGGAAAATATACTATTTTTATGACTTTTATTATTTTTACTGAAACAAAAATATATAGGGATATATTCGAAAATATAATGCATTAAATATAATAATAAGACATTTCCATATATGAGACTAGTATACTAGTGCCTAAAACTAGTGCCTATAAATTTTTTAATTCTGCAGTGATACAAAGATGAAAGAGATCCGCACTCCTCCAAATGCAGCTAAAAAAGCTTATTCCATTTATTGTTCAGAGGTCACAAAAATATGTAGAAAGAAGTGCAAAAGTGCAAGTGCAGAACGATTTCAGGTATTAACCCTTCCTCAGTGCCATGGCCAGTGCTTTGTGGATTTAAATTCTGCAGTGAACCATGTATGGCTACATAATGATACTTATACTAATGATAATGTACTAATAATGATACTAATAATGGTAATGATACTATGTAATAATGATACTATGTGTGTGCGTGTATATATATATAGTATATGTGACCCTGGACCACAAAACCAGTTTTAAGTCGCTTGGGTATATTTGTAGCAATAGCCAAAAATACATTGTATGGGTCAAAATTATTGATTTTTCTTTTATGCCAAAAATCATTAGGATATTAAGTAAAGATCATGTTCCATGAAGATATTTTGTAAATTTCCTACTGTAAATATATTAAAACTTAATTTTTGATTAGTAATATGCATTGCTAAGAACTTAATTTGGACAACTTTAAAGGTGATTTTCTCAATATTTAGATTTTTTTGCACCCTCAGATTCCAGATATTCAAATAGTTGTATCTCGGCCAAATATTGTCCTATCCTAACAAACCATATATCAATGGAAAGCTTATTTATTCAGCTTTCATACATTAAATCTGAAAAATTGACCCTTATGACTGGTTTTGTGATCCAGGGTCACAAACACACACACACACACACACACACACATATGTGTGTGTGTGTGTGTGTGTGTGTTTGTGTGTGTGCATGTGTATATTAAAAATGCACTATGTTTTTAACTTTGCAGGGTTTATGTAAAGCTGCACACATATTAATAAACATTTATCTCGCTTTATTGTTTGCATAGTTACACATTTCATATATGAAAATATGTGTGATATATAAAAATGTTTACTAAAACAAATATAATAATTTGGGGATTTTTGGACTGTTGGATGTCTTGTTAAAGTGATGGCAACATGATGTGACTTAATTATAACATAATAAATATATCACAATATATGTTTATAATGTTATAATGTTCCAATATTAATGTGAATATATATAGCATGTACAGTATATGTTAAAATTTATACACGCACAGTACCATATTTTATCACATGTACATTTATATATTCAATCATTTTAGTCAATGCATTATTGAATATAAATTCACATAATATATACAATTTATAAGTAAATATGTCACATTTTTCAATTTAAGAAAAGTGGCTATTTCTTATGTATCATTCTCAATATACTGTAATATATTAACACAACATGTTATTCTGTAATATAAAATAATTCCATTTTGATCGTTAATACGGGTATATAGAAATATATTTCCTTTGCGTAAGGGTAGCTAAACGGCACAGGAGTCTCTAGGACCCGAAACAACCAGGAAGTAGCCTAAAGCCCATCTGAACAGGACATGAGCGTTATGTAGTGCTGTGTCGGTGATGTTTTATATTGAATCTTCAGCTGTGGCGCTCAAACTCTCTCTGATTCATAACTGAGAGCATCTGAACCAACAACAGCAGTGGAGAGCAGCGGGCATCAGCCTCATACAATTAACCAGCACTTCTGGGGTGCCTGGCCCTTCACTGAAGACATGTCAGCAGAGGACGCATCCATGACACACCGTGAGTGCTCTTTCCCTTATTTTTCATGGAATATATGTTTTGCTGTGTATGGTCGGAGTATTGCAGTGCGGGTTACATCATTACGGGCTCTACAGTGGCAAACAGCGCACAGCCATGTTTTACAGAGTGCTTTACAAATGTCCGTGTAAATACAACGCAAGGCGACACGGGAAGCCTTGCATGTCCAATATGCATTTACATATTTTAACATAACTGTCTTTAGGATCTCTTCGTTGTGTAAATGCAATAAATACAGGCAGTTTTTGAAACAAAAGAAGACGCTTGCGGTTTGACATCAGCATTGCTCAGCCGCTGCAAGTAGATCGTCAAATGCAACAAAAACTACGCTGGAACGGATATGATCTTTACGAAAGCACAGCTGATTAAGATTAAACGACCGTGGAAATTATATTTAATGACTTGTTTCAGACGGTCAGCGAGATTTATAACCTGATTCAATTATAGAATAGAATAAATAACCAGTCTATAGGGAGAAGTAACAGCGGATGTTGTGGTTTGTCCAGTACAACACTATAAATAACTTTTTCCTTACTGTAGAGCACCCATGCATTAAGGATGATGTTCAAGATGACATTTCAAATCTCGGTTTTGACATTTATCGAAGGAATGGTTAACCTCATGATAAATTACAATTGCTATATGTCGGAAAATGTGGGAAAATATAAAACTTTAGCCATGAAGGAATAAATCATTTGCATCATCAGCAGGCTCGCTGTGTTGTGTAATGAGACAACAACAGTCCCTGCACAACCGCATTATAGTGAGCTGATGTGGCAAGTGATAGGTAGGCTAATCCCACTTAACAATGTAATTGTTCCAAAGCACTGAATTGTTCAAGACTGGCAGCCTTTAATTCTTGAGCGACTGTTGTTATAGTGATGAAATACAGTCAGATTTGATTTTTCTTTAGTTTTGTGTAGGTCGTGTGTAATGTGGTTTAGCAGACGGTCATTAGTAATAATGCACTGGACAGCTCCAGGTGCTGAACCGCTTTTAAAGAGTGTAGTCGCTCATACGTGGATAATAAATTTAAGATTAACTTTGATAAACAGGGATGACATGCTCAGAACTGGTAGAGCTTTATTTTTAATATACACAGCAGAAACAGGAGTAAAATGTGTACAAAATGGATTAATTGTAATTATTTTTCCTTATTTACATTTCAATGGACAAAGAATGCTAAAATGCTATAGTTAAAGACTGCATGTTTAAACTATTTATTAATGGTGAAAATGATATATTTGAGAGATAGACAGGACATATGTATCAGCTTGATTATTGTGTTATTTTAGTGATAGGGTGGCATATTAATATTACATAATTTAATGACAAATACAGTTAGAAATTGTAATACAGTCACCAAAATTCAATCTTGTAATATCTCAGACATTATCACTGTATTTTTAAGTTCTAGAAAATAGCTGGCAGTTTAACAAAAACAAATGTACCTTAGCTTCTGAGTGTGGTATTGTTTTAGTGCGGAGTGATGATACAGTCAAAAGATGCCGTCTGATACATTGTTATTCTGCAAGCGTTTAATGATTTCTGTAATAATAGAATCATTTTTGATAAGTTCTCTTCTCTCTGATCTCTGCATAGGTCTGCTGAACTCATTTGCAATTGAACAAAACAAAACTATGCACGCAGTGTTGAATATGCCACGAAACAATGCTTCTGAACAAGCTTTGTTTTTGAAAAGCTTGATTTCCACTTCTGACAGGCATTATGTTTCCTCAGTTGCATTGGGTGTTTAAAAGTGATGTAGGGTGGCTGACTACATCATGTTTTAGGAATTCCAGAAAAGGAAATATTAAAAAAAATTTAAAAAACTGTGGACTGCCCCATGTCTTTTCATTTTTCTCCATTCGTTTTGGACTTTTGACTTGATTATTGTGCACTTAATTAGCAGCACCGCCTTTTTTCTTGGTGGGAGACTGTCTGCAGGAGCTAATTTAAGGGTCTGACGTTGGGAGGTGAATCACGTTAGCCTCTCAGCTATTCCCAGTCACAAAGCACTTCTCATGTTGCTCATTGTTGCAACATGTAATTATGATTTATGCTGCTTTGAACTGGCTTTTGTCAGAGCTGTGAAAAGATACATTGTTTTGTCCTCTACACTCTGCATTTCCTTTTTTTTTTTTAATTCACCTATAAGAAAATAGCCAGCTGTGAGCAGGTCAGAAAGTGTGTAAGGAAAGGATAATTTTGGTGGAGAAATCGGCTGAATTTCTGAAGAGGGTCATTTGTAAGTGGCGAGAGACGAGCCTTGCCACCTGTGTCTCCTCTAGAAATACTCTCAGACCTGACTGCGAAGTCCTTTACCTCCTCTTGTTCATACAAACAAGTGGAGTAATTTAGTGTTGAGCTAAATAACAACAAAAAGCTAGCTAGAAGAACATTTTCGAGCTGCGTGTTTTAGATAAGCTAGGAAATTTGTGGCTTTCATCTTTCATTCATTTTTCATCTTTTTTAATCCGAATGTCTAAAAGTGCAGTCACAGTCCCATAGGCAGGTCTTGATTGTCTTCTGTTGTACTCCTTTGATAATAAAACAGCTTAACCTTGAGTGCTAACCAGACATGATGTGATAACATCACTGCCATTTTAATAAGTTTTTGTCCCAGCTGACCATGACAAGCAATGAGTGACAGGACATTTTGTCATCTCTATTGATTGCAACATGGCCCTTGTTTTGGAAGTATTATTTCCATTGATTTTTCCCGTAGGGATTTTAAAAAGTCTTCATTAAAGCGTTACAAGCCATGAGCCAAACCAACCAATCCTATGAACCATTACGAATAACATAAATTAAAAACAGTGGAATTAAATTAAATTAAAAATCGAAAATTATACATTTAAAGTTGTTGACTGTATATATAGAAACAATATATTTTCAGTTTATTGTAAAATATGCATATGTATGTTCAAATAGTTAATATTCGAGAATGTGAGCAGACCAACTCTATTAAGCCATTTGTGGTGTTTCATGGGAGTGCATGGGCAGAACTCTCTGATTAGTGAAATTTTCTTTACAGCATCATGGGTAATGTAGTTTTTGCACCACTGTTAAACATGATTATTTAAAACATAAGTTGATATAATGCGAACTGATGGCTTCAACCAAAGCAAATACCATTGATTAACAACCTTAGAGCTCGCAGTAAGTCTGTCTTTAAAGGTCTGGAGGTCACCAGGTAATACTAATCCCGTGCGAATAGGGTTTAAGTTATTGTTAAAAAACTATTTCCCTATGGAGAAAATGAATACCATTTTTATTTCTGGAACATGACTGTTGCATTCCATATCTGCTGCATTACACTTGTTAGCCCCGCCCACTGTGAAATTTCATTGGTCCATAATCTTGCTGCTCCTCATAATTCTACATTAAAGTCCCCCTCACTCATTTTATCGCTTAAAACATGTCTTTAATGATCAAAATTACTTATTGAAACGTTTTCTTCCATTAACATATAATTTCTTTCTGTCTTAAAATGGCTTGAATATAACTTTACCCCCTTACCTCATTTAGTATACACGTAATCATGAATATGCACGCAATCACACCAGCTCATATATCTGCTCCCACCCACAAGTTGACGAGATTGGTTACATGTTTGTGAGCAAAGGAAATGGGCTGTTTCAAACCACAGTTTTGAGACTGTCTTTGATACACTGTCATTTTAAGGAGAAAATGCTCAGCAGTGGTGATGAATTTGCACAAGGTTTGTCTTTAAGCATATTAAAAACACCAGATAGATATCTAAACAACATTAAAAGTTTGATTTTTACCACAGAGGGCTTTAAATATGAAATATCCTCTGATTGACTATAAATGTGTCACATCTCATAGCAATTTTGATAGCTAATAAAATAGCTTGTCGCTGGAAACTTGTCATGGTTTGGACTTGCAGTAATTGAATTTGTTTTTATATCATGAGTTTTGTACTTCAAACAGGTTAATTAGTTGCCACCCACTTGAAGAAATAAATGCATTTTGATTGAAGTGATCACTTATAATTATATTTTGAACTAAAGGTGGTTTTGAGTTGTACAGAATTAAAAGTGATTTCATTAAAATTCGGAACATTTCTCGTTTAAGATCTTTCCTAGTGGGATTCAGTTCACTGAGCCATGAACAATACAGAGCTAAGCACTTCAGCATGCGCACTTGTAATACACTTATAAAGTACTTCAGCACCCCATGGACAGATAATCATGATTCATGGCCAAACTAGTATGATTTCATTACATTCTCCAGTTCTTTCATAGCTCCCATGCATAATTTAGGGAGACGTTTATGTAAGGTACTTGCAGCCTGGCAAACTTTTGCTTGTGGGCCATAGCAACTCACAACAAGCTCTCCATTAGGATGGAATATTCATGAGCGCCCGGGCAGGTTGTGTAGACCGATGTGAGAGATACGTTGAGATTAAAACTGAAATAGAATGAGTCGTTGAGTCCAAGGTGATGTGCTGCTTTTTCTCCATCCTTCAAACTTTTGACAGATCTCACAAAGCTGTTAGAGAATTCAGTACCTTCTTCCTGTTTTTTGTTCATGTTCCCTTTTTTTTTTAAACAGCCTGAAGGTCCCTCAGTTCAGAACAGATGGTAAAATGTTCCTTTTGATCTTCTTCAAATCTACAGGTTTCAAGAGTTTTCTGGCTGTCGCATGAATTACAAACATGCTCCGGTTGTTTGAAGACACAGTCTGTTTATAAGTGCAGAGCATGAATTGGCAAGAAGTATTCAGATGCTTTTTATAGTTATCGGGGCTTCTCTTGCTATGTTGTTTCTGATGGTCTGGCATTGTGCAAATCTACCCAGGCCAGATTCATAAACTGTGTGTAAGTGACAAACTAAAAAGAAATTCCAAACTCAACCGAAATGTGAGAGTGTTTCAAGCCAGTTGATGTAACCTTACAAATTTGTATACCATATTGTATACCTTACAAAGGAAAACGTTTAAATTGTTTTAATATA